AAGTAGACTGGTGGTATATCGAGGTGTTGAACTTCTGTACATTAGGGTTACGAAGGACCATCCTTCACCGGTTGAACCGACCCATTTGTGCTACAACCATAATATAACTGTACTATGGCTCTACCACGAAAAAAACTTAAAGAACCAACAACTGGTGTAGAATAAAGGTTCCTGAACGGCAACCTTATACCGGTAAGCAAAGTGCAGGCCCCTCCTAAATGGAGAGACAATCTCATAAGACATGGAGGAAGTTTATGGATATAAGTGGCTCAGGATTGTGTTTTGTTTAACAGTGGATTTGATGATAAATAATAAACTCAGATACACACTGATTTGGTATAAAGAGGACTGAAGTTAGGTAAAGATAGTATTAGTTATTTTACCTTGTACATCACATCTTGACTCAATCCTTTCTCCTTTTCTCTCTTATTCTGGACTGCAAGCCAAACATCTTTCAGCTCCCCAGCTAGATCTCTATCTTTGAGTATGACTGGGTTCCTAGTTAGTACCAAACCAGGGTTCATTGCCTCCACAAAATCGCAAAGAAGGCTTACTAAAGCTTCTCGATCCTGCAAAGAAGTATTAGAGCTAATTTAAATTATGAATATTTATTTGATGGTGCTGGTTTTTGTTTTATATCAAAATGGACAGACAAATTAACAGTCCACGTGATAGTACGTATTTACTGCAGCCCACGGAGACCTGCAACTAACTTGAAGTAGGTTATAGGTGCATTGTTCCTTAAAAAGAGAAAAATGAAATGCCAAACAGTCCTTGCTCTCCATGACATAAAAACACATAAACCTCATGTTTACATTACTGCATCTCCATAACAATCACAGCAGTATTGGTGCTGTTACTTATCAGCAGAAGTAAATTTTTTTTATGTTTCAGTTGTTGTTAACAACTGAAACATAAACGGAAGATGCTGCGGCCCACCTCCTGTTACCATTTCTCTCTATCGTCTCTTACATCTTTCACCGTAGTGTAGTATTGGGTAGTGGATCCTCTTATCCTGCTAATATACAATGACCAAACCTATAACTACAAAATAAATATAATACTTTATTCAGTGAGAAGAGACAAAATTGAGTAAACATAATTACAGTAGGATTAGAAGCATTCTTGCCATTAGCCTTTAAGATGTCTGGATTTACCATTACTGCAAACACAAGAAGAGGTGGCCTGTTACTGTTTGGTCCGCACCCTTGTTGCACCTGTAATAATTTTAAATAAGAATTCAATAAAGATGATAAAAGTTATGTTATAAGATTAATACATCCTAATTTCTTTTTTCTTTTTATTAACAATAATTATAATAAGCTAAATAAATTATATCTTCGACAAATAAAAAATTATATCATACCTGCATCCCTCCATATAATGGTATGGGATCTGAATACTGTTTCGGATTCGCTATTTTCTGCCATCCCAAAACGTTTATGTATAACTTTTCCGAAGTATCTTTTATTGTATCTTGGATACACATATGAGGTTGTGGTGGATTTTTGAACTGACGAAATGCACGTGAACCTCGAACATACTGTATTGGTGCCGCTCTTTCTTGCGGGTTTTGATTATCCATGTCAATATTAGTAACAAGGAGGTAAAAACAACCGAATTACTTATGAAAAATCACTAACGTTCTCTAAAAATAATAATTCAGTGACATTTCTAACAGGCCTCGACATCGACACAGATTTGACATATCAAGTTTATTGAACCTTTCTACAGCTTACCGACGCAAACACTAAAAAGGAAAAATTAAAAACGTGTATAATCTATGGTTAAAACGGAACGTAGGTACGATAAGCACTTGTTCGTGTTGTTTATCTAATTATGATTACGACTTCCTTGCTAACATAAACATAAAACCGTGAGCTTCAAGTTCTTGAATGAAGGAAGTGAAAAAGTATTTCCGATCCAACTGATTCTGAAGGAAAGACCGACAGACGTTAAACCGGTGAACGGATGTGACGTTGACGTTTTTATTAACAAAATGTCTTCTACGTTCTCACGAACTACGGTTTAATTGGTTTGGCCTTAGATATCTGCTATATTATAATATACTTACTGGAGTTCTACTTCTACTGCAACATTGTACCTTCTCTAATAATCTATTAAACTGTCATCGATAAGTAGCCGTACCATAACATCATATTAAATTTAAAAAAAAATGTTGGTGTTGGCCTATATTATTTCTATAATGATGGCACTTCACATGGCTATTTATATTTGCGTATTTGCTGTATTTGACAAATAACTTCCATGTGTTGGGAGTATATATTTCCATACTTAATGCCGTATTTGCCTATTTGGCAAATATAGCCAATAACAAATATGGCTTCGGTCATCTGTTGGTTTTTCAAGGCTCATCAAAGAAGACAAATAGGCAAATACGCAAATATACTGGCCACACATGGTCGGGTTCATAAGCGCGCGAACTATAAACCAGTACGGACCTGTTTATAACCTCTTAATAAGTGATTATTTAGATACCTACGGAAAATGAATTGGGGCAAAGAAACAGTTCTAAGGTTTCTAGAACTTTATCAAATGAATCCATGCATTTGGGACCCTGGAAATGAGGGGCGAAAAAAATATAATAGTAACATGCGTTCAAATAATAAAATCCAGCTGCAAGTGCAACGTCCATTTTGTAGGTACAACTACTTTCTGCTAGCAAACATGTTTAATTTTTTGGTATTTGGCTCCATGTGCTTGTATCGCTTATTTGCCCTTACGTCGAATTTTTTGTCATATACGGCAACATGCTATCACAAATACAAATAGCCATGTGAAGTGCCACCATAAGGGTCTCATCAACTATATATGACTTTAAATTTTTCAACTTTGTTACAATCTTTAGTGACTGATAATAGGAGTTTTACCCAAAGCTAAGATCGTTTTAGTGTGAATTTTCTGGTTCAAATGACTCAACTATGAAGTGAGACTCTAGGGTTTTTTTTATAGGATAGGGTGACAAACGAGCATACAGTCCACCTGATGGTAAGTGGTTACTGTGACCCATAGACATCTACATCTATCCTCAATAAAGACTCAAGATGCAGATGCGTTGTCACCCGTGAGGACTAAGATGGAATGCCTCTTTGCCAGTAAAAGGGGTCTCCGGTTCTCTACACTCACCATACGAAACACAGCAGCGTTAAGCTGCTATTTTACGCTGGTTTTCTGTGAGAGCGTGGTCCTTTCCCGGTCGAGCCGACCCATTCGTGCTACAACTATACTACTAATATAGCTGCAGCATGGCTCTACCACATACAAAAACGTAAACGTAAACGTAAAAACGTAGGGTATTTCTATGTATCACTTTTTGTTTCGCTGGAAATCTCTAAGGCATTTGATAGTATGGTACTATAATTTACTGAGTAAACTTCCATCTTATGAATTTTCTAAGTGCTTAAGGGCCTGGATTTCAAATTTTCTGAGAGTAGGACATTTTTAACATTCAGTGATGTAAATTTAATATATTTAGTTATATTTCCGTTTAAATGTAGATTATTAACTTTAAACTAATGCACTAATTTTGATATAGCATTATTCACTTCGTCACATTTAAATGATTGACGTTTAAGCAGAAAAATCAAGGAAGTATCATCAGCAAATAGTACTATATCATGATTATCTCCCACGAGGGAAGGTAAGTCATAAATATACACCAGAAATAGGAATTGGCCAAGAATTGAGCCTTGAGGGACCCCCATTAGTACAGGTGACCTGGAAGAACTTTTACCATTTATAATAACTTTTTGTGACGGTCCACTACTGTCAGGTTTACTAGGAGTTTTCTTCTTCGCACGTCTTCTTTGTGGACTCGTTTAGCACCGGTGATTTTTTGAACCGATACGACTTAGGGACCTTCAAGAAACGAGCTAACTTCTTTTTAAAAAAACAAAACGCTCCTACAACTCCCCTTTGTATTGTATTTGTTAATAGACGGTAATCGATACTTGCCATCAGGTGAGCCGCATGCTCGTTTGTCTCCCTATTCTATATAAAAGAGACAATAAAAGGAAGTAGACAATTATCTTTAACAATGTTATATTTATGTTCTGGAAGCAGGAGTAATTTTTGTGATTTCTGTTCGAACCATTCGCGGCCAGGAGCCAAAAAGTTCGAACTCGAAAATTCTTTACACAACTATGATAGAACATAATTTTTCGTACGTCGTTCTTGGAGGCCGAGGGGCCCCTTTAGGTCGGGGGTCCCGGGGCACTGCCCCGCCTAGCCCCTGGGTAGCTACGCCACTGAATAGGAGGTCTTTACTGGAAAGTAAACTTTTACGGACTGATGATGATGATGAATAATTTGCGTGTGATAAGACTTACAAGCGTAGAGACCAGTCTATCGAAGTTTAAGTTACATTTCAGAGAGTGTGCTTAAGAGCTATATTCCCATTTGTTACTCAATGTCGGTTTTATAGGATAGATTTAAATGATATCTGTTACTTACTAACATTTATACCATTAACTTAAAATTGCAAATAACAATATAATTAGTAGCGGCGAGGTTTGAACCCTCAGGGGCTCCGAGCTACTACGGATTAATTATAATAATATGATTATTATCATATCTATATTGCATTATTAATTAATTATACATGAAATTTAGACACTCAAGCACGTACGCACACAAGCAATCACGCAATTACACTGGCACCCAAAGAGTATAATAAGTCACCACCACTAGGCAGGCACGCATGCACGCACGGAAGCATGCACGTACGCACGCACTCACGTAAGCACGCACGCACATACGCACGTGACATTTAGAAAGGTACCTACTGCTATTTCTTGAAATTTCTTCGTGGATCTGTTTAAAGGTATTTTAACAAAACACAGAAATTATGAGGCGTATATTTTATTTAAACTTTATGTGATTATTCTTTCTTTTTCTCGTGAAATGCTTTTAATTCTAATTTTTAAGTGTTAATGTCGTGAAATAGAAATACATTTGGGCGAAATGTTTCTGAAATCAATTTATTTAAGTAGCGTGTAATAACTGTAGGCCCCTCTAAGAATCTGAAAATAAAAATCGATATTGGTATTAGATTACAAGACCTATCTTCTATTCATAAATAAATGTCAATTTTTACAACACATGTATACCTAAGTATAAAAATGAACGTTCCATTTTTAGGTACATATATTCTTAATAAAGCAATGGATATAGTTGTATTACTTATGTCATGGAGATTGCTATGTGGCTACGGCGATGGATTTTGTAAACGAAATAACATATTTTCATGATGATTGTATGACTTTCACATTGATGAAGAAGAGGAGCTGCGTGTGAAATTGCAAAGGGCCAATATTTGTGCCGCGTGGTGGAGTAAGAGATACTATCATTTCGTCTCGTGGTAAGAGGACCCAATATGTAGCTTCTTTTGTCAAAAGTTGGTTGCAGGTGTTTACGTACACCTTGTAGTGGCGGTGTAAGAAACTCCACTACTCCATGTCGCTCCGAGGGTGTCGTAAGAAGCGACAGAGGGAAATAATCCACAGGAGATGGCCAGCAGCATCTTTCTGATAACCACTCAAAATAATAAAAAACTGCGTAACAACACATCTCCCCTATGAGGTAATCTATAGGGGAGTCTAGCAGTGGACTTTTATAGGCTGTATTCGTAATGGATAGAATAGAGGTGCTTACGGCCTGCAGAAGTCATTTACCATTATGGTGCATCATGTAATCCCGATGCAAATTCATTTTTCACATTTTCAAATTTATTAAAAAAATTGTAAATATTTGTGTTTTGTAGAAATAGCTATGAGCCTATTACTAGGCTTCTACAACGCCTAGATACATTAAATGAGTATACCGTAATAAATGTCAAAAGTGTCAGGTTGGTGAACGGGCCGGCGGTAAACATATGAACACGCCTTAGCTGTCCTGCGAGTAGCAGTATATTCCTGCGCTGCCGGAGACCTGCCGTCCACCACTCGCTCTCATATGGCCCAAACGTTACATTGCCACTCTGTAATTAAGTAATTTGTACACAGGTGAGTAAAATCAAATTAATTTATTTCACTAGCTGGTGCGGTAGACGGTTTGCCCTTTTCTACCGACTTCAAAAAGGATACGGTACTCAATTCGATTGTATGTTTTTTTGGAACGAAGTTCCTTATCGGACGGTACGGGTTTGGCTACGTTAGTACTATTATTTATTCTGTGGTTTGGCGGATGGGAGCTAGGCGACAAAAGTGTAAGAATTTTTCGTCACTACCCCTAGTGTAGACGGCGAAATAAGGAAGTGAGATGGAATAATATCCATCTCCCTCGCACTTTTTCTTATCTTGCCATGAAAGAAATATTATTTTATTTCAAATGACGCTTTATTTTAATAGACGCTAGTAATTCATTTATTTGTATTTGTTAATCAATAATATAATACCTACTTTTATCAATAATAATATACTACACAAGGAACTTCGTTCCAACCGAGCGCTCCACGACACTCACGCATTTTTTTTATGTGTGCTACCTCACAACTTTTTTCTGGGTGAACCGATTGCGATGATTCTTTTTTTATTTGAAAGCTGGTGCTTCTCATGTAGTCGCATATAATTTGATCAAGATCTGATCAATAGTTTTTGAGTTATACATTGAAGTCGGTTGTACAAAATTTAAAATTTAAAATTATTAGATGACACAATGAGTCTCCAAATTCGGTACGGAATTTTTACTGTATAATTATAACAATATTTATTAACTAGCAACGTGCACTCGCTCAAAGAGCATTTATTTTATAAATTTTTCGTTTTATCTATACATCTATACAAATAAATAAAATTGGAGTGTCTGTTTGTAATGTCAAAATAACAGCTTTTCACTAAATGCATAATATGGAAGTATATACGGTATTTATAAGAAATACACAATTTTTAATATTTTTGTCTGTTTGTCTGTCTATCTGTCTGTCTGTTTGTTCCGGCTAATCTCCAAAACGGCTGGACCGATTTTGATGGGACTTTCACTGGCAGACAGCTGATGTTATAAGGTAACTTAGGCTACTTTTATTTAAGAAACAGAATTAGGGTTCCGCGCAAAAAAATTAAAAACCTAAATTACACGCGGGCGAAGTCGCGGGGAACATCTAGTCAAATATATATTTGTGGCCGATGGAAGGAAAAGGGGAGATCTCACGCCGGGCAAGGTGATCGACCCGGGGAGCGGCTAACGCTCCGAGTGGTAGTTTTTTTTACGCCCAGAAGCAATGAAAAGGGCTACCCTCCAGGAAGCGCGGAAGGGAGGTGGTGATTGCTCTAAGGATACCACGACAGCCGGCTGCGTGGTTATGTGGGACTCACTGCAAAACCTAAGTGCCTACCCACTAAATACTACCTGTGAGACTGGTATTGGCTTGTGTGGCCTTTCTGCCGAATCGGATGCGACCCCCTTTAGGGAAAAGGGGCGCAGAGCCGAGTGGTAGTTCGGAGCTATTCTATATATACTGCTTTTACTTCGGAACTTTGATAGCGTGATCTAGGCTTCGATGTATTTTCGCTTGTGGCGCGACGACAGCGCCGCCAGATATTCAAAATACGAGGCGGCACTGAAAATTTCGGGAATCAAGGAAGTGACACAACATTACTATTTAAAAATGTATTTATTGCTTTTCGAATTATTCTCTGCGAAATTTGACACATTTTTCCATACGATGGAACCAATCATTGAAGCAACCATTCCATTCGGAAGTTGTAAAGTTGCGAAGTGTAGGCGTTCACAGCTTCTTCAGGTGATGAAAATCTCTGTCCACGCAATTTATTCTTTATTTTAGGGAAAGTATAGAAATCATTAGGGCTTAGGTCGGGGCTGTACGGCGGATGGTCTAATAATTCTATGTTTTCTTGCTCTAAAAACTCCTTTGTTCTGTGTGCGGTGTGAGAACTCGCATTGTCGTGATGGAGGATGATGCGGCGGTTGCAGTTCTCTTTACGGAGTTCAGAAACGACCTGTGGCAAACAAATGCTAGCATACCATTCTGCGTTAACCGTTCTTTGTCCCTCAAGGGGAATAGTCGTAACATGGCCGGTTTTGGAGACAAACGTGGCCACCATTTTTTTACAACACACCGTGAACGAACAATTTTGTTGGCTTTAACTCATTTTCGAACACCCAAACTCGTGACTCGTTTTTTGTTTCGGGTTCGTACGCGTATATCCAGGATTCGTCACCTGATACGATGTTGTATACAGCATTTGAGGATCCTGCGTGGAATTTTTCGAGAGTTCTGACGCACCAAGTAACGCGAGCCACTTTTTGCTCTTCACAGAGCGAATGCGGTATCCATCGGGAAAACAACTTTTTTTTACACCTAATTGTTCATGCAAGATTATTTGTATTTGACTCATGCCAATGTCTAAAGTTGCCTGAATTTCGCGGTATGTCACATGTCGATCTTCCTCAATCAGTTTACCCACAGCATCAACGTTTTCTTGGGTGACTGCAGGTTTTGGACGACCTTGACGGGGATCATCACTGAGCTTGACACGTCCACGTTGAAATTCAGCAAACCAGCGATAAATTGTGGTTTTGAATGGGGCTTCATCACCGAATGCAGAAATCATCCGGTCAACACACTGTTTTTGTGTTATACCACTTCTTCATCTTCTTCTTATGACTAAAGTCATAATAAATCATCGCTCTTGAATTTTCTCGAGTCAATTCCATTTTCTCAACGACTAAACAAGTTTGACAAAACCTTGTGACAAGACCGAGAATCTTTTTTTAAATAAATAAATGGTATTCAATTTTTAAAACCAAGGACTTTTCAATGAAAAAAAATTTAATATGACAGGAACAGTGGAAATATTCCATTCCCGATACTTTTAGTGCAGCCTATGTATATCCTGGTATTGCTCTCTATTTGTTCGTAAAGTTTAATTACAATCGTTTCAGCTATTCTGAAGATTAGCCAGCCATTCTGAAGATTAGCGTGTACAGACAGACAGATATACAGACATACCCAAAGTAAGGAAAATGGTTATTTATATCTTAATAGCATGCAAATGACCCCCCGACCTTAAAAGAAGCCACTTCATTTTCAATATTACAGACCAGTACCTACTTCAATTTTATTCGTATGTATAGATAACTTGACTTTATTCTAAAAAAAAAACGACAGCAAAACCGCGTAGTGGCGGTGTAAGAATATCCTATCCCATAATGCTGATCTTCCAGCTGGTGTCGTAAGAATAGACAGAGGGAAACTAGCTAGGAGATGGGCGGAAGCGTCATTTTAATAACAGCTAGAAAATAAAAACTGCGGTTGGTAACTGAAACAGGAGATTGGCAGCAGCAGCTTCCTGTTAACAATTCAAAAAAAAAAATACTGCGGCTGCCAATCCTTCTGACAGGCGTGGATTCAACTCGGTTGGGCAGAGTTTGCGAAATTACGACACATCTCGTCAGGTATAACCTCAAAACTTGAAAACGAAATTGTACAACCAGTGCGTGTTGTCAGTGATGACTTATGGATCTGAGAAGTGGATCTTCACTGATGACCGTATGAGAAAGCTCTAGTCGCTCAGCGAGCTATGGACAGGGCTACGTTTGGGATTTCTCTGCGTGATATGAGGTTCTCCGCTGTAGAATCAGAGTAACCGACTTAACCCAACGGATTATTAAGCTGAAGTGGTGGTCACAGGTCACAGGTGGTCCAGGATGGCCGGCCATATAGCTCGAAGAATCGACAATGGATGGAGAAGCAATGTTCTCGAGTGGCAGCTTCGTATCGGTAGGCGAAGTGTGGGGCGGCCCCCTGCTAGATGTAGTGACGACCTGGTAAGACATGTTTGACAACTTTTTCTTCCAGAATATGAACAAATGCTGCATTTTTTAATAAATTGCCTACAACGCCACCTATCGGATCCTAGCTATGAAGCACCATCTCCACAGAAGAAATACATATATTGTATATGTATAATACACCTCATATTATGTCCAAACCCATCAAGTCCTATAGGCTAGTGCGGCCAAAAAAAGTAGACACCCTCAAAATACTCAAAAGCAATGCTCTTTTTCTGGAACAGTCGGTTAACATAAAATGGGGTGTCGGGTGACGACACATCTGTAGCTACGGAATTTTGGGCATTGATTGAGTAGTCTTTCCGCTAAGATACGAGTAGTATCGGTACACCCGGACGCGCACTTATTAATTTGCTTTTATTTTATTAATAATAATATTAATAATAATAAATAATAATAATAATAATTTATTTGATACAGACTGTTACTGTATTTTTTAAATAAATGTTTTTCTATTCTAAGAATAAAATACATTATTGTAATAAAATACGAATTTAAATAATATAAACAAGTTAGGTAGCGAAGAAAGTTTCACTAGGGCAATTTATTTTAAAATGCGAAATTCTCCTGCCGATGTACGCCGCATGCTGTCGCAAGATGTTGGCAAGATGTGGTACGTGCAAAGGCGGCGCGACACAAAGGCTTATCTAAATGAACAGACTATATATATAATTATATACAATAATTACGTCACATCATTACGTTACCTTCACGAGAACATCATTGCTGTGCCAACAGAACAAGAACAGCTGTGTGATTCCGAACACTAAGTATTCCGCCATTAGCAGTTTCTGCGTTGCGTCGTTGGCGGACTGCAAGAAAAATGTATTGTAATGTAATGTAATGTTACAAACTATATACTTCCCATTGCTAGACATATGCTACCTTTCATTTCTGAGAGGTTACAATACATACGGTTAGTTGAAATGCACTAAAACAAAGCACCGACGAACACATAATTACGTAGAAGAACATCACAGGAGACAGCAAGGAGTTAAACAATTGGGAGTTCCTAAAACAAACAAAATAAGTTACAATTTTAAACGACAGTAGCTCAATGGTCAAGTTATTTCGACCCCATAACACGATCATTTCCCTTTTTAAGCTTTCTTGGAGAGGTTAGTGGGTTTGTTAGTAACCAGCATTCAACATCGTCATTACAGTCAAAATTAAATTCAAATTTAAAATTAATTCGAAATTTAAATTCTTTACAATCCATCACAAGTCTACTGTTGAACATAGATTTAAGATGCTGCTGCCCGTCGTCTCTTTCATTTCTCTCTCTTGCCGCCTCTTACAACACCCACGGGACGATATCGGGTAGTGAGTATTCCTTACACTACCACTACACGCAGTGCCTGATTTAGAATTCAGATAGCCCTAGGCTAAATTGTTAGGCTAATTGTTATTCATTGGAATATGTGCCGTCACCGTCACCGTCTTATCTGCTTGTGCCTGCCCAGCCTACGAATATATTTACTAGATTTAAATATTTTAATAGCTTTCCACCCCGCGGTTCCGCCCACATTAAATCAAATTTTCCTGATAGTAAGTGTCGACCATGAACAATTGCTATACAAGGGAAATAGCAGTTGTGTTGACGGCCTTTTTAGAAGGAGTAAGCTCGTTTCTTGAAGATCTCTAATTCGTATCGGTTGGGAAAAATCACCGGCTGTAGATGATGACACATAGCCGTGGTGGACCGCCAAGAATTGAAATGGTGTGGATGGTACCGTGAGTTTAGTCTCGATATGCGTTGGTGGAATTCAGACGCTGGAATTAATCCGAACAATTCCTCAGAGCACTCCCCATGGTAGATGATCTAAGTACTCCCAGTGGAAAATGCGATAGAAAATGGAATGATATGCAACATCATTTCGCAGAGCCAGTGAATCGAGCCGATCAGAAAGAAGTCGGTCGTCAACGATCCGAGCCACCCTTCGCTGGATGCCCCAGTCCAGAAATAAGAACAGTACCCCATGGGAAGGCGATCTTGCGCCTTTAAAGAACCGTAATGAAATATTGTCCCGCTCTGCTGAGCATACCAAGCTTTTTAGAGGCCAATTTAGCCTTCTTTTCTAAGTGACCGCGGAACTGTACGTCATTTGATATGTTGATGTCGAGATATCCGATGCTGGCTGAAGCAGCATGGAGAGTGCAGCAGAATGGTAAATATGCAAACCGGTATCTTCTAAAGTTTAAACTGGACCAGAGTCGTCGCCAATTCGAGATTTTGTTTATTAAACACTCGACTTTAGGGTACAAGTTAGTTCTGATACTCGATGACGTGTTCCGGAGAAATATTAGCACGGCTAGTGTAAAAAGCATCACCAGTGTTATAGTCATCATCATCATTACAGCCTTTCATAAGTCCACTGCTGAACATAGGCCTCCGCCAAGGAATGCCACAAAGCACGGTCCTAAGCCACCTGCATCCATCGACTTTCTGCATGTCTTACCAGATCGTCACTCCATCTAGTGGGGGGTCACCCTACACTTCGCCTACCGGTACGAGGCTGCCACTCGAGAACCTTTCTTCCCCATCGGTTGTCGGTTCTTCGAGCTATATGGCCGGCCCACTGCCACTTCAGCTTACTAATCCGTTGGGCTATGTCGGTTACTCTGGTTCTACTGCGGATATCCTCATTTCTAAGTTTATCACGCAGAGACACCTGAGAATAGCCCTCTCCATAGCTCGCTGAGCGACCTTGAGCTTCCTCATACGGCCAACAGTGAAGGACCACGTCTCAGATCCGTAAGTCATCACTGGCAACACATACTGGTTGTACATTTTCGTTTTCAGGTTTTGGGGTATGTCTACAAGAAGATGTCGTAGTTTCCCGAACGCTGCCCAGTCGAGTTGAATCCGTCGATTGACCTCTCGGTCGAAGTTGGACTTACCTAGTCGGACTATTTGTCCCAGGTAAACATACTCGTCAATAACTTCGAGCTTAGTGCTCCCAACAACTACCGGCATAGGTGTGACATGGACATTAAACATGATCTTTGTTTTGGCCATGTTCATCTTAAGACCTATCCGTTGGGAGACACTATTGAGGTCATTGAGCATAGTGCTTAGGTCCTCCAGCGATTCTGCCATAAGGACTATATCGTCGGCAAATCGAAGGTGAGTGATTTACTCGCCATTGATGTTAATACCGCATCCTTTCCAGACCAGTGCTTGATAATGTCTTCCAATGCAGCGGTGAAGAGTTTCGGGGATATGACGTCACCCTGTCTTACACCTCTCTGCAGTTGGATAGGTTTCGTACTCTGATTCTGTACTCGTATAGCCATCGTAGCTCTACTGTACAAACACTTCAGCACTTCGATATACCGACAGTCAACTTGGCACCGCTGAAGGGACTGCAGCACCGCCCAAATTTCGACAGAATCAAAGGCTTTCTCATAGTCCACATACGCAAGGCAAAGTAGCTGATTATACTCCTCTGTACAATCTGCAGCTGGGTATGTATGTGGTCTATGGTACTAAAGGATTTTTGGAAACCGGCTTGTTCGGGAGGCTGGAAGTCGTCAAGTCTGCGTGCGAGACGATTCGTAATGACTCTCGAAAACAGCACGTAGACGCGGCTCAGAAGAGAAATCGGTCTGTAGTTCTTTAGGAGAGCGTTGTCGCCTTTCTTGAAGAACAAGACCACCGCACTTCTGCTCCACGCCTCCGGAGTAGTGCCACCATGGAGGACGGAATTAAAGAACTTCTGAAGGATTTCAAGTACCGGTTTTTCACCCGCTTGCAAAAGCTCCGCTGTAATTCCATCCTCGCCCGGGGACTTTTCGTTTGTAAGGTGCTGGAGAGCCATTCTAATCTCGCTCAGACTGACGTCTGGGATATCTTCGGAATAGTGTCGGCTAAGACTCGCTCTTGGATCGTTACTCACACTTGCGTGTGGCTCCAACGATGACGTGTACAGCTGTCCATAGAACCTCTCAATCTCACTCAAAATCTCAGGTGTCCCGGAAAAGATGCTGCCACATTCGGTCTTCAGCTTTGACAGTTGGCTCTTTCTGGCAGACAGATTTCGTGCAAAGACTTTGGAGCCTTGGTTCCGCTCGATCGCTTCTTCAATACAAGCTCTATTGAAGTTGCGTAAGTCCCGCCGCATGGAATTGAAGATCTGTCTTTTCAGTTGCTTGTATGCTGTCAAATCTGTTGAAGAATGTAACTTAATCTCCCGTCTAACATCCATGAGATTAAGAGTGTGATCGGAGAGTTTATGTGTTCTTCTGCGGCGGGTCTTGCAGAACTTAGCTCCGACCGCATGGAAAGTTTCCACGAGCTTATCATTCATATCGTCCACTTCATTGCAGTTTTCTAGGCACTGAAAACGGTTTTGTAACTCGAGCTGAAAGGTTTCGGGACTTTGGGACAGAGCACGAGGGGGACGGAGCGTTGACTTCATTAGACGAGACCTCTCCAACTTAACGTTTAGGTTCAGTGTGCCTCTAACCATTCGGTGATCGCTCCCAGCTTTTACCCCCGCGATCACGGAGACATCACTTAACAGTTGTCGTCTGGTCGTCATAATGAAGTCATTCTCATTTTTTGTCGAACCGTCGGGGCTCGACCAGGTCCACTTCCTGTGGGGCCGCTTCTGGAAAAAGAGTTCATCATAAAGATTCCCTCTTTCTCCATGATGTCGGCCAGCTTCTGGCCCCTTGGGTTCCGTTGCCCTATTCCAAATTTCCCTACTTTCAGCTCACCGTTCTCTTTTGTGCCTAGTTTTGTATTAAAGTCTCCCATTAACACCGTATAGTGGGTTTTTGAGGAATGCATGGCTCTAGAGATATCCTCATACATTTCCTCCACCTCCTCATTGGGGTGTGCCGAGGTTGGTGCATAAACCTGTATGACCTTCAGCGAATACCGTTTGGTGATTCTGAGTATAAGGTACGCAACCCTCGCCAACACACTCTCAATCTTTACAAAGTTGTTAACGAGAGACTTGTGGACCATAAATCCGACACCTCCTTGGGACAGATGGTCGCCCTCCCGGTGATAGAGCAAGTTACCGGATTCGAAGATTACCACGTCCTCCCCCTCTCTTCGGACCTCGAATAATCCTATAATATGCCAGCTTAACTTGTCTATCTATTCTTCCAGCTCCACGATCTTCTCGTCAGTCCTCAGGGTGCGTGCGTTGTATGTTGCCAGGTCGAGTCGTCTTAGGTAACAGCAACATATTATAATTGATATACAAAAAAAAACCAGCCTAGGTGGTAGCACGCCGCCTTGTGAAACACTAGCAATAAAAATCTCGTAGTCGAATTATGTGCTTTCAACTACGACATTAATGCTCCGATCTGCAAGAAAAGTGATGACCCAATTGCAAATTTTTTCGGGAAGCTCATAGGAAAAAAGCTTATAAAGAAGCGCTTTGTGCCAGAGCTCATCGAAGGCCTCCGTATGTCCAAAGGAACGACCAAGGCCTCCTTCTTGGACTCTACTGCTTCCGCTCATCAATGAGTCAGGTAAATGGGAAGATAGAACTAGTACCAGCTAATTAGTGATCCAAAACTACAAACGTAAGACAGAGAGAAGTAAAACCTCCGACACATTGTTGCCTCAAGTTGCAGATGCTGTCGTCAAGGAGGGAAAACCAGTTAAAAATGTGGCAAGACAACTAGAAATTTGCCACATGACGTTACATTGATTTGTTACAAAATTGAAAGCTGGCAAGGTTCCTACCATAGGTTATAAACCCAGGCTAGTGTTTACCATGGAACAGGAAAAAAGAGTTAGCTAACTACATTTTAAAGTGTTCCTCAATATACTTCAGTCTTCTGCCCGAAGAGGTGCGAAAACTCGCCTATGAATGTGCAGTAAAATTTTCTTTTGAAAACATTCCCCATTCGTGGCATAAGAATCTAAAAATTGGAGCTGACTGGTTCACTGGATTTATGAAGAGTAACCCTGTTTTATCGATCAAAACCCCAGAAGCAACTAGTACTGGACGTGTATCTGCATTTAACAGATTTAATCTGAATGAATTTTTCACTAAGCTAGGTGAAATTCTACTAAAATATAAATTGACACTATCAAATATCTGGAACCTGGAAGAGACTGGAGTAACGATTGTTTTGAAGCCAAGGAAGATAGTAGTCCAAAAAGGCACAAAACAGGTCGGTGCTATAGTGTCTGGGCGAGGCACTTTCGTAACGCTACGCTAGTAAGCTAGCAGCTAGTGCCGCGGAAACACGATACCGCCAATGTTTGTGTTTCCACGGTTAAAGTATAAAGACTTGTTTTTACGAGTACGGGATGGGCCTCCAGAATCAGTCGGAGCTGGGAACAGCTCAGGATGGATGACTGCCACTGAATTCTTGAACCCACCACAAAAGAACCAGTATTACTATAGACAATCACTCCTCACACATTGAAATTAACGTAGTTGGAAAAGCTAAAGCCATACATCATTATGTTGTCATTTCCCCCTCACTGCACCTACATCCTGCAACCTCTGGATGTTGGCGTCAACGGGACTCTTAAAGCATACTGTGCTAAAGTCCAAAGTCCAAAAATGCGTCGGCTGAAGTACAGACAAAGAAAGGAAAAGGGAAAAGCAAGAATAACTGTAAAGGAAAAGGTAAAGGGATGGATAAATCTCAGGGAAATCTAAACGAAGAGTATTACAAGAAAGCAAGAGTGACAGCGATAACGATCTAGAATGGTACTGCATAATTTTTTGCGATTCATATTCAAATTCTCGTCCAAGAGAACAGTGGATAGAATGTACCATGTGTAAAAATTGGGCTCATGTCAAATGTTTAGATAAAGGTGATAAAGTCACTTATGTGTGTACCAACTGTGAGTCAGATGAAGAAATGAGTAATGAATAAGATTACTGATCATTAAGAATAATAAAGCCTGATAAAGTAAGACTGATTACTAATCTTAATTTAATTTACCTAAATAAAAGTTTGTTTGGAGGTTACCAGTCATGTTTAGTTGTTTTTTTAAAGTTTTGATAGATCTCAATTATAACTTAACAAAATAAAAGTTTATCTGGAGGTTACCAGTTATGTTTTGTTGTTTTTTAAAGTTAATTTATGTATCTGATAAGATTTATAACATATTATCTTACATTCTCATCTTATGATCTCAATTATAATTTAACTAAATAAAAATATTTATAGTCGTGCATAGAATAAACATTACATACATAAATTTATAGAAATGGTTGTTTATTTTTTAATAAAACCTATGTTATTATGGCTGCATATTGTCATTATCTAAGCGGAACAATTTGCCTCAAAGGTGGAAACAACTCGCCCCAAAGCGGGGCTGAATGTTCTGCTCCGAAATTTGACAAAAATTTGCTTCCGTAAAAAAACTATTAAGATATTAGTAGAAGTGGCTATAATATGGTAGAAAACGATAAACATCAGTTCAATATTTTACATGTTGAAAATGAAACGCTTAATTTTTATAATAAAACTTCATGTAATTTGACAATCGGAATTTCCAGGCCCGCTCTGCTCTGCCATCGTCTGCCGGTGTGCCGAGAAGCGTTCTCGTGGTGAAGGAATATCCTACTGCGAGGTCATTTCTCCCGAACTTTTTCTAAGACAAGTGACAAACAATTGTTAGTGTGCCACTCTGCAGTAAATGTTTTTAAATCCTCTAAAACAATTGTTGCGTAATGACCTGTCTTTTCAAAGAACGAGGTCACCATCTTTTTTCTCACGCTTCGACCTCTCTTCACTTTAGTTGGCAACTCCTTGGAAGGAAACACCCAGACAGCAGATTGTTTCTTAGTTTCAGGGTCATAAAAATAAATTCAGCTTTCATTACCCGTAAATATGTCTAACACAGCATTGAGTCACCTCCGTTAAACCTTTGAACCATTTCACGACGCCAATCAACACGACGGAGTTTTTGGGCCTCTGTAAAATTATGAGGTACCGGGCACAAAGCTTCCTGACCGCTAAATGCTCATGGAGGATTTTGTGCACTTGACTCATACCGATGCCTAAGCTTGTCCGAATCTACTGATAAGTCACTATTTTGTCGGTCTCTATCATAAGCCGCACAACACTGATGTTATCTTCAGTCGTCGCCATAGGAGACCGTCCCTCAGGCAGATCATCGGTGAGGTTAGTGCGATCACGTTTAAACTCATTAAAGCAGTTATAAGCAGTGGCACGAGATGGAGCTTCATCGTGAAAGGCCAATCGAAATGTACGATAACTATCTTGTTGATTTAAATGACATCGAAAGTCATAAAAAATCATTGTACGAAAATTTTTCCCATTAAATTCATGCTGACGTGACACAGACAAATTTCAATTTGCCGCCAAATCGTAAACAAATGACAAATTAATAAAATACATACACAATAATGTTGTCAAGGAGTTCCAGTTTCAAAATTTGAACTTGTTTTTTTAATATATCGTTTACAAGTGGCCAGTTCTAAAAACTGTCAGTGTTGCCCTCATAGGTGTTTTCCGAGGCACGGAGGTGAAACACGGCCAACTTCATAACTCCGGGTTTAAACTGAGAATTTCTCGACAAAAACACCTAATAATTCATTTTCGCCCGACGATTCGAACCGTCCGGTTAGTGGTCGTAGACGTAGACGGCCCGGTCCGGAACCGACCGGACCGGGCTGTCTACATCCACGACCACTAGACAAATGAGATAGTATTATGTACTTTAGAAATTATTGCTATCAAAATGATAAGGATAAAAGAAAATTTGTCCTTGTCCAATATCTTCATTAGCGGGTATCGCAAAAGAAGACAAAAATAATTAAAGAATTTATATTTGTTTTTATATATAAGTAGAGGTGACAAGCGGCCACACAATCTAAAGTGTAAGTAAGTGAATGCTGTGGTTCATAGATACATAAATTTGTTCTCAATCAAGAATTAAAATGCAGATGCGTCGTCACCCATGAAAACTAAGATGGAAGGCATCGTTGCCATTAAAAAAGGTATCTGGTTCTCTTCATTCAGCTGACTAAATACAGCCCTCTTTACGTGGTAAAGCCATGCTGCTATATTATGTTTGTATCACGAATGAGTTGGCTCGACCGGGGAAGGACCATGTTCTCTTATAATAGCAGCGTTAAATATGTGATACGTATGGTGAGTGTAGAGAACGGAAAACACTTTTTAATGGAAACGAGGCATTCCATCTAAGTTCAGAGGACTAAGTTGTAATGCATCGCTGGATGATATGAACGTACACATAAATAAAAGTAGTTTTACAAAAATAAGTGATATTAATTCTGTTAATACTGGGGGCCTATAGTTAGTTATAATACAATGGATGTATACGCCCCTAGCTGCTCCGACAAAGGTCGACCATACAGGGGCCCATACAGCTGTAGATTCGACGGACAACTAAGGGTGGGGCCCAACGGCCTATGGAGACTTATTATTCTACACAATAGATATAAGGCTAGGTAAATAAATAGTACGTACCTGGTTCCGAAGCTAAGATTGACCCCAAGGCTCGGTCAAGCGGTAGGTAGGTGCATGTAAGTAGTATGCTAGAAGGTGTGTATGTATGACCTGACCTAACTGAGGTGATCGGGCAGTAGCCTCGTCCGATGCTGCCCCACGATGTGGTATCACTCCAGCGGACGTCACCAATCGAAAACTGCTGACTTCCTTCACTATTTCAGTCTATCAACTTTATTGTACATATAATTAACTTCAAAGTCAACCAATTCAACGTTCATCGAAATCAAACACGTGACACACGGTACAACTAATGAACGGTCGATCAAAGTTCAATATTCAAGGTTCCGGGTTCACCCAGCACAGAACCACAAACACGGGAACGAACGCAGTCTCTTCTCGAGTCACAAAGTTAGCGTTCCGCACGGCAAGCTAGATTCTTTCGTACGATATTAAATACTACGCCCACAATAAGAACTCAAAATCAGCCTCGCTGACACGCAAAACTAACTAAATAGTCGATACACAAAAAGGCACTTAACGCGACGGTACAATTCAACATTAATTTCCAAAAACAATTAACCGGGCCACGCCTTCGAAATGGAATGCGAGCATCAAATTCCAGACTGTCTGTCCACTCGGCGTGCGCGCAAGGTTTCAAGCAAGTTAAATATTGCAAAATGCACTTCAACATGCAATCACTATACAAATTGACGTAATTACTTGCAAAAAATACGCTAGTAGACAGAGCCGCTGCTGTCAAGCTACTGATCAGCCCACCGGCCGGAATCCGGGAAGCCGGCACACGACCTTCCCCCCCCCCCCCCCCCCCCCGGCGGCGTTTATCTCACCTCGACACCATCGGGTGATGCACCGAGTCAAACGCGATTGGATGCCGTTTTCAAATGCTCATGTTTGGGCCTAAACAATGGATGCCTTTAATTAGTTGTCTTTTGGCGATGGATTGTTTGTTGTTTTGGTATAGGCACGTATTAATGTTAATCAAAAAATTACCACATTATTTTCAACAGTGAAAGACAAATTCTATTCAGCTAAGATCAATATTTTACAAACACGATATTATAAAAAAGTTACAATAATATTACAAAAAGCTTTTTCAAAACTATAGTACAATTGAATCTTACTTCATTAAAAGGACGTAGATATCGTGTAACTCTCGTATATTTGCTTCAGCTTGTTTGTCATCGACGCCTAAATCGTTGGTACCAAAGATTTGCTTGCACCGCACCCGGAGCAGGTCCATTTTCCCACCGATGAACACCATAATGACCATTACGCTGGTATCGTATGCCGCCATAATACCACCCCCGTAAATGCACATCACGGTGTGGTATAGAATCATTATCCAGGAACCTGGTGGATTGTACTTATCAAATGGTACCCACGAACTAAATATGTGGGGAAACAATTCTGTGCCATTGTGTAAGGCTTTCCGATAGTTTGACGAAGACAAATACATTAGTAATGGTGTGTTTACCACTGTCACGACGGTCATGCATATCAAGATCCAATAAAAGTGTACCACTCGACGGCAATACTTCGTATATGAATCGACAATTCTAGCTTTTACTGGATCTTTGCTATCTCTTTCATATTTATCAGCTTTGCAAACATAATCGAAGAGTTCCCTCCATTTTCCTTGCCAAAATACAAAGGTATTCGCCTTTACAATGCATACTATACTCAGCATTGATATCTTCAAGTTGGTTAGCACCAGATCTAAGCTCGACTTAATGGCGAACAGTTCCATATATTGGGTGAGCACGAAAAAAGAGGCAAACCCGTGTAAAAAAATATACAAAGCTTTTCCTAATTTGTTTTCTGGTAGAATTAGACCCATTTTTCTTAAAATCCAGTAATTAGGGCCAATTAATGGCCTATTTGGGTCTTCTAAGCTTTTCAGAAACTTCGTGATCATTATTAACGTGCTATGTTTGAGGAAAATAAAAAATACTGTTGGAAATATACTGCATGTCGTTTATATAGGCCCGATTCGTGCAACCCTCACGTTCAAAAGTACGCTGTGTCTATAGCTAGAACGGTTGACACATATAAATTTTTAATGCCTTAAACTGATTTTTCCAGAATTTTAATACCGTCGTTTACAGTTTTGGTAAGGTTTATTATTTTATTTATTTATTTATTACATACTTCTTTTAGAAAGACATTATTATTACTCTTTTACCTAACAATTATATGTGAAATATCTTACACTGAAAAATTAAGAAACTTATTGCTGCTTTTTTAGAAAATTATTTTAAATATATTGGGCTCTATGGTCTGGCTAAACACTTTAATAATGTTCTGTGCTCTAATAATACTCTAAGCTGATGATGCTGCTTAAATTAATGGTAGATATAGCAACCGAATGACGGTAAATAACATTTATTATCTATTAAAATGTAATGCAGGTATTTTAATTTAAATTTATACAATAATATACATTACTTACTTTATTTGGGATATTACTTCAATTTACTATTAAGACAAAGTTTTCAAAGTAATGGATGTCATGATTACTATACATTATAATGTATACATAACATCCAATACGTACCATAAAATAAATTGCGAAAACTACAAAAATATACTTAAAGCTAAAAGTTTGTATATAAATAAGTTGAGAAAATTACATTAAAAGTTGTCGATAATATGAGTGACAACACTATTAAAGTTGTTTCAGTTAAAAGGTATTGCATTCAAATTCAAACTGATAATTTAGACGTCTCTATTAGGGCCGTTAAATGTAGGCGTGTCTAGCCAGGGAAGCTCCCAGAAATAAAAAAATAATGAAGCTGTCAATCGGCAGTGTTATCGGCGCCAAATGATATGTAATTATGTTTTAGGTGCTATGTTATTAGCACAGGATATCGAACTACAATATTTTTTAGATTGATGTGCAACGTCTTTTAGTGTCGCAAGTTGGGAATATTTTTTTTTATACAATAAGGGTGACAAATGGGCACACAAGTCTACCTGATGGTACACACCTGTATCTATCCTTCGTTGAGAATCAAAATGCAGATGTGTTTCCACCCCCAAGGACTTGGACGGAATGCCTCGTTTCTAGTATAAAGGGTCTCCAGTTCATTACACTTTATATTCTTTGAGGGTGTGGTCCTTCCCCGCTCGAGCTGACCCATTGTGCTACAACTATAATATAGCTACAGTATTGCTGTAACACGTAAAAATTAATTATATGCCAAAAAGAAATTTAAAATTTACGGTATCATTAAGATTAGTCTCATTTCCACGCCTGATTAATCTACGAGTATATAGAAGACTCCATCAAATGCGATAAATTTTTTTTTCTGAAAGTGTACGCTGTTGGCCCTGCGGCCTTGAGAGTTTCATATAATTAGGCTCGTAAGCGAGGACTTACGAACTATTGAGTGTAACGATTCGCCGACTGCAGTCCCGAGGCACCCCGGCCTCTGCTTTCGGAGTGAGGCTCCTCGAGCTAGGGGGAGGGGGGAGGGGTTCGATGCGAATTCAAGGCCCCCTCAGAAGGAGGTACGAACCTCGGCTTGAATCGCTATCGTAATTTTGTTTACTGGTCGCGAAAATTAGAAACGCCCTGTATCACGGGTGTTGAACCTCGTGTACGGGGTGTGTCTGTGATCACGCGTTCGCCGTTCGCCGGCGAACGCGGTGTGCCCTAGTGTTCTGTACTAGAGTAGTGTCTGAGTGAGTGTGTGTGTGTGTGTGTGTGTGTGTGTGTGTGTGTGTGTGTGTGTGTGTGTGTGTGTGTGTGTGTGTGTGTGTATGTGTTAATGTTTACTGAACGCGTTCCCTCTCCTGTGGATGAGGGGGGAGGATCGACCTATTCATGGAAGTCTCGAGTTTGTTACTGCACCATGCACCAATGTTATGTTAATGTGTTGTAATAACCGATCGTAAAACCGGATTCGTCTGGATTGTTACGGAATTTCATATATTATTCCCTTCCCCTTCTCTTTATTCTTCATCAGAGTGCAAAAGCCCTCTGCTGGTCATAGGCATTCCCCATCAAGAGGTGTTCGGCCACTTTGCACTGCCACCTAACGCTTACGAGATTCGTTAATTATTATCCAATAGGAGCACTACAAACTACTGCAAAGCCTATTTCCGGGTTTCCTATCTAACGCCTTTTGTGCCTTAAGCATCTGCACTCATATGTTAACGGGGTTCGCATAAGCTCAGAAGACATAAAACCAACTGCATCGCTCCTGTCTCGCGTCATTGCTGCCGTCTTTGTGTAATCTAGATATTAAACAAAAATATCGTAAAGTGTATAGACAACGCTTCTACTAACTTTTTTAGATAGTGGTAGAGCCAAGCGGTAGCTTTTGCTGTCGCACGGATGGGCCAGCTCGAACCGGGGTGGTACCACGACCTCACAGAATACCAGCGTGAAGTAGAGGTTTACCTCTGCGTTGCGCTTGGTGAGTGCAGGTGGCCGGAGAACCAATTCCCCCCCCCCCCTCCATCAACATGGTAGTGCAATTAAATAAAAGACTACCCCAGGAGGGTACCAGCACCCTTGGAGAATCCTTCGCTGAGCATCCACGACCAAACTACTTCACTCCTGAGCGTGGGTGCTCAGGCTGCCCCTGCTGCTGCTATTCTGGTGGGGGGCAAAATTCCGCTCGCGACTAATGCTGCTCGGGGCAAGCGGACCAATACAACCAAGGCGACCACGCTATTCGTGAATTTTTGCAACATCAGGGGACTTCATTCCAACCTTAACGCTGTTCATTACCATCTAGAGACGGCGAAGCCGGCCTTGCTCTTTTTAACCGAGACTCAGGTGTCCTCTCCGGCTGATACTTCATATCTCTCCTACCCGGGGTACAAATTGGAACACTCCTTTTTGCACCGGGCTAGAGTTTGCGTATACGTTAGAGAGGACATCTGTTTTCGACGCCTCGGCAGTCTTGAAGGTTCGGACCTGTCCATCCTATGGCAGCGCGTAGACAGCGACGACCATCCACGCGTCTACGGGTACCTCTATAGGTCCCATAGCGGTAATGCCGACACAGACCGACTCATCGACCACGTCCAAATGGCTGCAGACTCCGTGCTACAAGTCCCATCCGCAGAGATCGTGATCCTTGGCGATTTTAACGCCCACCACGCCGAATGGCTCGGTTCACGTTTAACCGATCACGCGGGGAGATCTGTTTATGACTTTGCCTTGGCATATGGTCTGACACAACTGGTTACATCGCCTACGCGGATTCCAGATGTTGAGGATCATATACACCTTCCCCGTTGGACCTTCTGCTGACCTCTCATCCGGACAGATATCAGGTTTCCGTCGATGCCCCTCTTGGATCTTCGGACCATTGTCTGATCCGGAGTGTGGTGCCACTCACGCTCCCCTCGCGGTTGCGTTCTGCAGGTTGCCGCCGTGTTTGGCATTACAGGTTGGCGGATTGGGACGGAATGCGGTCTTTCTTTGCTTCCTACCCATGGGGGCGGGTTTGCTTCTCGCCGGATGATCCCAGCGCTGTTGCTGACTCTGTCACTGATGTGGTGCTACAGGGAATGGAACTATTTATTCCATCATCTGTGGTACCCATCGGAGGCAGATCTCAGTCTTGGTTTGGTCGCTCCTGTAAGACTACTTTACGCAGTAAGCAGGAGTGTTATCAAGCCTGGGCTGCGGCTTCGGCGACTCGGGATGTAAACACCAGCATACTTAAAAAGAAGTATAACTTCGCCTCCAGGTCCTTCAAAAGAGTTATTGCCAAGGCAAAGTCATAGCACATAGGCAGAATTGGCGAGAAACTAGTTCACCTTCCTTCGGGAACCCGTGCATTCTGGTCTCTCACCAAGGCTGTCCAAGGGAATTTCTGTAAGCCATCACTACCATCTCAGCACAGGGAGGACGACTCACTGGCCCACGACGCAAAAGAGAAAGGCGACCTTTTAGGCTCCTTTTTTGCGTCCAACTCGACTATTGATGACGGGGGGAACACACCGCAGACCATCTCGCGGTGTGAGTGCTCCATGTCGGATGTGCGGTTCTCATAGCGCTCGGTTCGCAGAGCACTCTTCTCCCTTGACATCCACAAGTCGAGTGGGCCTGACGGAATCTCCCCAATTGTGCTGAGGACGTGTGCTCCAGAGTTGGCACCGGTTCTAACGCGTCTTTTCCGGTACTCCTACTCCCTAGGCGTAGTCCCGAAATCATGGAAGGACAGCTTTTGTCCACCCGATCCCTAAAAAAGGCGACCGCTCAGACCCGTCCAACTACAGGCCTATCGCCATCACCCCCTTGTTCTCCAAAATAATGGAATCCGTTATAAACTGCCACCTCATGCGGTACCTTGAGGATCACCAGCTGATTAGTGACCGCCAGTACGGTTTTCGTCGAGGTCGATCAGCTGGTGATCTTCTGGTCTACTTAATTCATAGATGGGCGGAGGCAGTAGAGTCCAAGGGGGAGGCATTGGCCGTTAGTTTGGACATTGCCAAGGCCTTCGATCGGTTTTGGCACAAAGCGCTTCTTTCGAAGCTCCCTTCCTATGGGCTTCCCGAGAAATTATGCAATTGGATCACCAGCTTTCTTGCAGATAGGAGCATCAAGGTCGTTGTAGACGGTGCATGCTCCGACTACAAGCCTATTAACGCTGGTGTTCCACAAGGCTGCGTGCTATCACCAACGCTGTTTCTTCCGCATATCAATGATATGTTGCAAGCCGGTAGCATTCATTGCTATGCGGATGACAGCACTGGTGATGCTCTATACACCAGCCGTGCCAATATTTCTCGGGAAAACGTCGCCGAGTACCGGAAAAAACTTGTGTCTGAACTCGAGTCTTTGCCTAAAGTCTCGGATTGGGGGCGACCAAATCTAGTCCAGTTTATTCCTCAGAAGACACAAGTTTTCGCGTTTACCGCTAAAAATAACCCCTTTGTCGTATCTCTTCA